CCGAGCGTCTGAAGTTTGATCACAGGGGGGCTCCAATGGTCTTTAAGTGGGAAAAGTGGTCGTAACTTCACTTTTTTCAGTGTCGTCGTAACTTTGGTTGCTAAATGAATGGTTGCAAGTTGAGGAGTAAAGGTAGAGGTTCCCCCTCGCACATCTGTGCTAGTCGTTTCCGACTCTAGGGGGCGGTGCTCATCTCCGTTTCAAAGCCGAAGAGCCAGCGCTGTCCGAAGACGTCTCCGTGGTCATGTGGCCGGCGTGACTCAACGCCGAAGGCGCACGGAACGCTATTTCTTTCCCACCAAAGGTGGCCCCTATTTTCCTACCCGCATTTTTTACCTGCTTTCCAACTGCTAGGTTGGCAGAAGCTGGGACAAGTCATGGGAGCTCACTCCGTTACGCGGCGCTAGGGATTCGAACCGTCGAACGGCCGACCTTTCTGATCGACTAGCTCAGCGTCTCAGCCACTGAGCCACCATGTCATCGACTTACAAACATTCATTTAGGGACCGTTCAAAGGTGCAACAGCACTGGAAAAAGTGACATTTTTCACACTCACAACCATTGCCGTATCCCAATGCCCACGTGAGCAAAATTCAGACGGGTCCGTCTGTCTTATTAAATTGGAACTTTAAGGATAGTTTTGCCTTGGCCTCTTGACTTAATTCTGCATGATATTTGGAACGCTGACAATGAAAACTAAACCGATGAATATTTCCCCCCCCTCAGGCATCATCCGTGCTGCGGCACTCATCCCAGACCAGCGGAAAGCTTTTCCCATTGAACACCTGCCTCAATTCACTCACCAACGTAATCCGGATCCACCCGGGGGGAATAGAGCCCGAATTTGATGAAGATGGGAAGCAAGAAACCGAATCGCACCCACTCAATGACGTAGAGCGGGGGATTCGTCTCGTCTGGCTTCAGCAGGTTGCAGCGCAGAAGGGCGCTCTCTCCTTGGCGGCCAACCACCGTGCGAGGTTGGGCTTTGCTGTTGTTACCTGCTGGGAATAACATTGAGAGAGAGGGCGATCAGCCACGCTGAAGCCTTTTTGAGGCTTCCATTTTTCTGCCTCGTTTTTGGAGGCTGCCCTGAGCTTCCTTTTGGACCAAGGTAAAGGTAAAAGTTCCCCTCGCACATCTGTGCCAGTTGTTCACTGGGGGCAGTGCTCATCTCCGTTTCAAAGCCGAAGAGCCAGCGCTGTCTGAAGACGTCTCCATGGTCATGTGGCCGGCATGACTCAACTCCCGAAGCCGCCCGGAATCCTGTTCCCTTCCCCCCAAAGGTGGTTCCTATTTTTCTACTTGCATTTTCTACCTGCTTTCGAAGTGCTAGGTTGGCAGAAGCTGGGACAAGGAACAGGGAGCTCACTCCGTTATGCGGCGCTAGGGATTCGAACCACCGACCTTTCTGGTGGACAAGCTCAGCGTCTTAACCACTGAGCCACCACATCCATGGACCAAAGCAGTATCAAAATTCCTCTAAGGGGAGGAAGTGGCTTTCACCAGTCTTTTTTAGGGGGGCCAACCTTTTGGGTTAAGGCGGTATCCAAATTCCTCTAAGTCAGGGGTGTCAAACTCAAGGGCTACGGGGTACTTAGATCTGGCAGAGGGCTGGAGGCGGCTGTCATGGCTGATAATGGGGCCCAGGAGGCCTATGTGCCCGCCCCCCCCGAGCACTGTTGTTGCTGGCAGGAAGTCATCACGACTGAAAACTGAATATCATCCTCATCGTCTTTTAATGACCCCATAATCCCTTGCGGGGTGGCGTCTGGGCCACTGAATGGAGCTGAGTGTTTACTGGCTGGATGCCCTTCCCTGTTGCCCATGCGGAGTTTTGTGTTCCGCAAATATATTCTCATGGTGCCCAGCGAGAGAAATATCCATCTCTAGGACCGAATTCATAGCCTCCATACCGCTCCTAGAGTTTGGGAGCCCGTTTTCACTGGCAGAGTGCTTGGGTCCCCACAGGTACCCCCGACACGAGTGATGTCAAGCTGGCCACGCCCACTCCATTCCCCCCACCCCCAAGGTCAAACACAACCTTGATGCAGCCCGCAATGACCTCCCCTGCTCTAAGGGGAGGAAGAGCCTCCCGTTTTAAAGAATTACTTGCATGTTACTGGCAAAAGCCGACCCCAACTTTATCCTCAGTTTCGGCAGGGGTCCCTGGGTGAATTCCCAGCCCCTCTCCCGTCCAGCTTACCTCCAGCAAGGCTGATGTAGACCAGGCTGACGCAGAGAAGCCTCAGCAACCAATTCATAGCACAGCTACCCAGGCCCAGCGCTGCGTGGGACGACCGCTTTTTCCGAGACCCTCTGCACGCGGGATATTTGGGCAGCGGCCTCTACGGAAAGGATGCCAGCCGTCCAATCACACCGTCCTCGCGCACCAAGCCGCTGGCTTTTCAACGCAGCCTTCCAGAGGTGCCAGGGAAGCGTCTGGCACCCAAGCCCCGCTTTTCATCTCCCGCCGATCTGTTGGTGGGAATCCCGGAGCATTTTCGGTGGGGGGGTTTCCCCTTCAGCATTGACCTGTTGTGAGCGAAGTTGGCAAAAGGAAAGAAAATTGAGGCTCTTCTATTCAAAAGGCTTTACGGAGGCGGGCTCTCCCTTTTTAAAAAATCTTTCGTAAACTTGTTTTAGTTCCGAAGAAAACCCAGTACGGGAGAAGTAAAATGGTCCTTTCGCCTTGTTTTGGAAAGACGCTTTAAAATTTAAACATTTTTCACCGTTTCAAAAAGCTTCTGTCCTTGGGCCATATTCCTACAATGGCTTTTAAACCAAGAATGTCCAAACTTGGCAACTTTTAAAGACCTGTGGACTTCAACTCCCAGAATTAGCCAGGCAGCATGGGGAATTCTGGGAGTTGATGTCCATGTGTCCTAAAGTTGGACCACCTTATAGATAACAGATTGACAGAGTTGGAAGGGACCTTGTAGGTCATCTAGCCCACCCACCCCCTGCCCAAGCAGGAGACCCTGCACCGTTTCTGACAGATGGCAGTCCAGTCTCTTCTTGAGAGCCTCCAGGGATGAAGCTCCCACAGTTTCTGAATAACAGAATAATAACAAAGCTAGAAGGGACCTTGTAGGTCATCTAGTCCAAACCCCTCTCAAGCAGGAGACCCTGCACCATTTCTGACAAGAGTCCAGGCTCTTCATGAAAGCCTCCAGTGATGAAGCTCCCACAACTTCCCAACTTCTGTTCCTTTGGTTTATTGTTCTCACAGTCAGAAAACCTCTCCTTATTTCCAGGTTGAATCTCTCCTTGCTCATTTTTCATCCATTATTCCTCAACTTACGACCACTACGATAGTCCTCGACAGTTGCAATGGAGGGCTGTGAAGGTTGGACTTTAAGGAAGGCTGAGCACCAAAGAATGGAGGTCTTTGAACTCTGGTGCTGGAGAAGACTCCTGCATTGAGTCCCTTGGACAGCAAGGCCATCCAACCGGCCAGTCCTAGAGGAGATCAACCCTGGCTGCTCTTTAGAAGGCCAGATCCTGAAGAGGAAACTCAAAGACTTTGGCCACCTGATGAGAAGGAAGAAGGACTCCCTGGAGAAGAGCCTCATGCTGGGAACGATGGAGGGCAAAAGAAGAAGGGGACGGCAGAGAAGGACGTGGCTGGATGGAGTCACCGAAGTAGCCGGCGTGAGATTTAATGGATTCCAGAGGACGGGAGAGGACAGGAAGGCCTGGAGGAACGTGGTCCATGGGGTCGCGATGAGTCGGGCATGATTTTGCAACTAACAACAACAGGCCAGTTTGAATTAAATTTTACTTCAAGCTCCATTTCCGTTTTTTAAAACTCCACCTTTCTGCAAATCTGGTCCAGCCTCCATCGCTGGCTGCATTAAACTTTAGAAAAACAAGCCAATCACGAGGTTATTTTCCCGTGTTTTCTTCCTGTCTGCAGTTCAGCTCCATTAAAAACAGGAGATAATTCCTCTTCTTTGACCTCTGCACGCACGCACACACACACACACACACATCAAAGGAATTTAGCCCCCTTTTGCAGCATTTTGCACTAGGAAAAGTGCAAAATGTTAGCCTCAGCTGGGGAAAAAAGAGATTTCACTCCCTTAAAAACAAAAAAAAGAAGATATTCCTTTAAGAGAGAAGGCAGGAAATTCAGATTAAACTGCAGAGATGAGAGTATCCAATTATAGGCTTGGCCCCAGCTTGACAATTACCGCAAATAAATCCTTCTGTAAAACTGGACAGGCCTCTTTAAGCAGCTTAACCTGGCAAGCAATCCCAGCTACCCTCTAACGTCTATTTTATCCTCACAAGAACCCTGCAAGGTAGGCGAGGTTGAGCGGCTGGGCTTCCGGATCAGTGGCAAATCGTGGCAGGTGAAATGCAAATAAACTCGCAAATTTTGCCAACAGTTTCTCGCACAGTTTTGAAACACCGCAATTCTCAAGGACCATCCTCCCAGCAAGCCTTTGACCACTAGAAAAAGCAAGAATTTAAACTTTTCACATCTAAGAAGTACCTGCTTCTAAGTTCACAACAGAAGTGCTAAGAACACAACTAAGGATGACCAAAACAGGTGTTGGCTATTTTCTGTATTAAATTCACATTATTTGCTGATTATGACCGTCAAGATAAAAACACCCCATGTAATTTTCTAGCAATTAAAGCGAATTTCCTTTGGAAGATTCGTCTGAATTTTAAGTTATTTTTCAAAACTTAAAAAGGACATTTCCCCCCCTCAAAAGAGCAAGGATTTACTCCCGCAGCCACACCACACCGCTATAAAATAAGTCCAGCAACATTCATGAAATCCAACTTGATTTAGTAAAAACTTAGTATCCAATTAAAACTTGATTTGGTCATTTTTTATCCCTCCTCTGCATCTTCAATTTTTTTTAACCAGTTTGGATGAATAAAAAGGAGACATATATGTTTTAGATGCAAAGAAGATACCAGAGGGGTCTTTTTAAAAAGACATATTTTATTTTATCCAATTCCCATAGCTGCCCAAGAAGTGATTTTATTCCCTACAAAATCCACCTCACTTTTAAGGGGAGGGGGGGAACCCTAACAAGCACCTACCTCGAGGGACGATCTCACACAGACCCCCGGCCACAAAATTCAATATAATTCTGTTTCTCTTGGCTGCTGGCAACGGGAGGAGAAAATTTCATGTTTCTTTTCAAATTAAAGGCTCAAAAGGTGTGCCAACTTCCGCTTCCTTGGGTCAATTTCCAAATGCAAAAAATATATATTTTGTTTTGCAAAACAATGATCCTGAAAATCAGGATTTCACCCTCCCCCCTCCATCCTCTCTTAGTCCCTTTTCTGGGAGTTTTTAAACCTAGGAAAAAGCAGGCCTGGCTGGAGGTGTTGGACAGAACAATGGGAATTGTAGTCCAGGGTTTCTGGGAGGTGTCATGAGGAGGAAAATAGGAGATTTCTGGAGGTGCCAATTCACACAACCTCTTTAGATAGGCCCAGGGGTGCACTGGCAATAAATGTGCCAAGTGGGGCACAACTGTAGTAAATAAATCAGATTTATTTGCAGGACTTCTATAAAGGCAGCAGCCCCTTGGACGGTTGAGGGCTAAATGCTTTTAATGCTTTTATTGTTTAAGATTTTAACCTAGTCCAAGCAGCTCGAAGTTGCTCTGGCTAAGCGAGGTTGGCCGGCAGATACACAGAATAATAAACACAGTTAACAATAAGCAACAAATAAGCAACAGGCTGCAGAATGCAGAGAAATTGGAGAAACTGAGCTGAATGTGTTTGTGTGAACGAGTTATTTGGGATACAATAAATTGTAAATAAATACAAATTTGATAGATAGATAGAATAGGAAGATTAGATAGATAGATAGATAGATAGATAGATAGATAGATAGATAGATAGATAGATAGAT